AACGCTTCGCTGGAAAAACTCCAAATCACGACTCCTATTCTAGGTATAACACCCTATTTGGAGCCACTTTTGTTCTTGGACCTACCCCAAAAACTGGCCTGAAGTGGCCGGAATCTCAACCCGAAATTCGGCTAAACTTTGGATCCAAGATCGAGTTATCTACGCTAGAAATTTCTGAAATCCTACCCAACCAGCAGCTAAGGCTCGAGAAATAGATGAGTTTCCATACCTGGATCACCGGAAATGGTTCTCGGATGACGAAAAACGAGCCGGCGAAAGTTTACCAAAAACTGTCTGACACCGCCTGTTTCTTGGCTGTTTCCGGCGATTATGGCGGTGGATTGGGGCCACAAAGAGCTGGGGCTGGAAGAGGGAAGTGTGTTGGTTCTAACCGGACTGGTCTTGCTCGAATTGGTGGTCGGAGCTGAGAGAAATCTTCTCCTAAAGTCGGCTGGTCGAACTGGAGGGGGAGGAAGAAAACTGTGTTTTAAAAACTGAAGTCTGAAGTATTTACGGTTATGCCATTGAACTTCTTTTGATGGTAACTCCTTCGTTACAACTCCGATTTGGGCCCACTACGTGTCTACGGACTCATCTCGCTGCGCTCTACACAAAGGTATAACTGAAATCTCCAAATCCTTTTCAGTCAAAAAGTCAACTTTTAAACCATTAAAATATTCTAGGGGTATAGTGGTCTTTTATTGAAATAAATTAATAATTAACTTTTAATTAAGGACTGGGTTGTTACAACTCGTGTATAGAACACGAATGTATTATTGAAAAATATGTACGTACGTACATATATATATATGTATATATGTAAAAGACCATAGCTGCTCGTCTATACTATTTATTAAAGACAATTTTTTTATAAAAAAACCTCCCGGCTATACTATTTTAAAAAGAAATTAGACAAAAAATTGAGTATAGCCGCACGGCTAAACTATTTACTAAAGAATAAAACAAAACAGTTAAAAAGAATTTTTTGTAAAAATGAGTACAGCCGTGCGGCGATACTATTTTTAATATAAAAACATAGGAAACCCCAACTATTTGTCACCACGTGTCAACACAGTTCTAATTTTTAAATAAATTAAAAACACAGAGTATAGCTGTCCGACTGTACTATTTTTTTTTAATAAAAAGGATGACCCTCTTTCACTAATGCACCACGTGTCAAAAAAATAAGTATATCCGTCAGGCTAAACTGTTTTTGTAAAAAAAAATTCGTAGCATAGCCACCCGGATATACCTGTTAAATACATTGTGTTTAAAAGGGGCTATTCCATTTAATACAAAAATACAAATAAATAAAAAAGGACCCTCCTAGTTGCATTAGTTTGTCCCTTATAAATATTAATTTGCTAGTTTCAAGTTCAACATATCCAATGTAGATATTAATCTTCCACTATATGATATTTTCATGTAATTTTTATAACATATGTCATTCTTATTCAATAATATGTGAGAATTATTTGTATAATACGCGAATTTTTTGCGTCTTATTGAAAATTTTAAAAACAATACGTGTATAAAACATTACAACTACGTACATACAAATACAATACGACTATTGTATGTTTGCTTTTTAAAAAAGGTGAGACACGTGTATAGAACACAAATGTATTATTAAAAAATACGTACGTACGTACATATATATATGTGTATATGTAAATGACCATAGCCACTCATCTATACTATTTATTAAAGACAATTTTTTTTATAAAAAACAGTAAAACCTCCCTGCTATACTATTTTAAAAAGAAATTAGACAAAAATCGAGTATAGCCACACGACTAAACTATTTACTGAAGAATACAACAGGGTAGTTAAAAAGAATTTTAAAAAAAGTGAGTACAGCCGTGAGGCGATACTATTTTTAATATAAAAACAGAGGAAACCCCTGCGATTTCTCACCATGTGTCAACACAGTTTTATTTTTTAAATAAATTAAAAACACGGCGTATAGCTGTGCGGTGGTACTATTTTTTAAAGAAAAAGGATGACCCTCATTCGCTAATGCGCCATGTGTCAAAAAAATGTATAGCCTACCTGCTATACTGTTTAAATACATTGTGTTTAAAAGGGACTATTACCTTTAATACAAAAATTTCAACAACAAAAAAAAAAAGACCCTCCTAGTTGCATTAGTTTGTCCCTTACAAATATTAATTTGCTAATTTCAACATATCCAAAGTAGATATTAATTTTTCACTATATGATATTTTCATGTAATTTTTATAACATATGTTATTCTTATTCAATAAGATGTGAGAATTATTTGTATAATACCCGAATTTTTTGCATCTTACTGAAAATTTTGAAAACAATACGTGTATAAAACATTACAACTACGCACGTACAAGTACAATACAACTAGTGTGTGTTTGCTTTTTAAAAAAGGTGAGATTCGTGTATAGAACATGAATGTATTATTGAAAAATACGTAAATGCTTACATATATATATATATATATGTAAAAGACCCTAGCCGCTCGTCTATACTATTTATTAAAGACAATTTTTTTTATAAAAAAAACAGAAAAACCTCCCGGCTATACTATTTTAAAAAGAAATTAGACAAAAATCGAGTATAGCCGCACGGCTAAACGATTTACTGAAGAATAAAACAGAGCAGTTTAAAAGAATTGGAAAAACAATGAGTCCAGCCGTCCGGCTATACTGTATTTAATATAAAAACAGAGGAAACCCCAGCTATTTGCCGCCACGTGTCAACACAGTTTTATTTTTTTAATAAATTAAAAACACTGAGTATAGCCGTTCGGCTGTACTATTTTTAAAATAAAAAAGATGACCCTCTTTCGATAATGTGCCACGTGTCAAAAAATAAGTATAGCCGTCCGGCTATAATGTTAAATACATTAAAAGGGGCTATTCCCCTTAATACAGAAATAAAAATAAATAAAAAAGGACCCTCCTAGTTACATTAGTTTGTCCCTTATAAATATTAATTTGCTAGTTTCAAGTTCAACATATCCAAAGTAGATATTAATCTTCCACTACATGATATTTTCATGTAATTTTTATAACATATGTTATTTTATTCAATAATATGTGAGAATTATTTGTATAATACGCAAATTTTTTGCGTCTTGCTGAAAATTTTGAAAACAATACGTGTATAAAACATTACAACTACGTACGTACAAGTACAATACGACTATTGTGTGTTTGCGTTTTTAAAAAGGTGAGACGCGTGTATAGAACACGAATGTATTATTGAAACATACGTAAGTACGTACATAAATATATAGATGTGTATATGTAAAAGACCATAGCCACTCGTCTATACTATTTATTAAAGACAATTTTTTTTATAAAAAAATAGTAAAACCTCCCAACTATACTATTTTTAAATTAAATAATTAATTATTTAACTAATTAGTTTTAATTTAAATCACAAAGCCCAAGAGCCCCAAGACTCAAGGCCCATCTTTTGATTAATTAAATATATTAATTAACCATTAGCCCAACTAATTTGGCATTTAACCGAAGGTTATATCCACAAGCCACTCAATTGGGCTACTTGCATAGCCAATACAAACTATTTTATTTCAAAGAGTAAGTCTTATAAAGACCTCCAAGGAACTCTAGTGTTCAATGTGTGAGCTCAAACATGTTTGCAATACCTTGGAAAACCAACAAAACTATTATGTTTCCACACACATTATTTGTCGTAGATAATTGCATACTGAGGTAGAGTGTTCTTGGTAATTGCTTCACTTTTGAAACAACACTATACATGAAGAATACTACTACCTCTCTTACTACTATACTCATACTTTCCAGGTACTAGCAGTCTTTCCATTAACTGTAATCTAAGACCATACTTTTTCTAAAGAGTCTTTTTTAATTTTGGGATCAAATAATATGTCTGATCTCTAAATGTACATTTTGTGGATCTTATTAGTTAATAAAGAGGACAATCTATAGCTCTAGCTGTATAAATAAGCACTCTCTGATATGTCATTGTAATACTCTTAACTTAAGTGATGTGAGAGTGCCAATCATCTTAAAAGTCATACATAAGTTAACTTACTTTTCCTATAATGTGCAGGAAGGATGCAAGGGCTTACTTTATATGGTGCTTCATGCGCGTGTTGTCCTAGACTTGTGTGAACAGCTTGAACAGGAGATAAGTTTTGAACAGGTTAAAGGGGACTTTGACTCATTTAGAGGTAAATGAGTTTTTGAGCAACTAGGAAGTCATCACACATTGTTAAAGTACTCTGTGGAATCGAAAATGCGCAAGGATACTTTTCTTTCTGAAGCCATCATGGAAGAGGTTTGTGTTATTTGTGCAATCATTAACCATCTCTTTCTATATTAGTAGGGAGGAGAATTGGGTTTTGCAAGCGTTTGAGAGTTGATGGTGGAGAAGATGCAGAGATTATGAGGGAGGAGAGTGGGTATGGTTGGGTTTTGCAAGGAAGACGATGCTCACTGGCTGCAATTGGAGAAGAGGAGAAGACTCTCACGGAGAAGACGACGCTCACTGGGTTTAGTAAGAAAGACGATGCTCGTTGGGTTTAGTAAGGAAGATGACGCTCGCTGGGTTTAGCAAGGAAGACGACGTTTGCTGGGTTTTGCAAGGAAGACGACGCTCGCTGGCTGTTGGGTTATTTGGGCAGTTTTTAATTTTTTTAATTTTTAAAATTGTCAAATAAAAAAGTTAACTCCCTGTTATGTTAGTTGACACGTATTAGCAAATTAGAGAGGGGACATGAAGGGGACACCAATTTAGGGACAGCGGATCCGCTCCCATATATGTGGTAATAAATTTTACACCACATATACATTCTTTTTTGAAAAAAATCTATGCCGTGCAATGCAACCAAACTTTCTATATCTTAGCAGAAGTAGCTAGCTTCACACAGTATATATATATACTACACCTACCACTATACAAGTCTTCGTAACTCAAACTAATCTCTGAGTGAAGAGCTAATTATAAATATCAGAATTGTTCAAACAAGAAACATGGCCAGACTCTCATGGGTTCCAACTGCTCTTTTCGTCATCCTAGCCTTGAGCTTTGCCATTGATGTTGCTCTGGTACTTCTCTAGATCTCATGAATATACTTATATATATATATATATATATATATATTCAAGTGATTTTTTGTAGAGATGATCTTTGAATTTTTTTACCTCTTTTTTTTTTTTTTTTTTTTTTTTTTTTTTTACATTTAATTACTGATCATGGTTTCAATAATTTTTACAGGCTGAGAAAGAGGGATCACTTCGTCGTGAAGGTACAAATAAAAAACTGCAAATTTTCTTTTTACATCCCCATATTTTCATTTCAATACACATAAAATATAATTTCTGGGAATTTGATTTAATTTTATTGTTTTGAAAATAGATTGTCCATCAGCATGCAAGTATCGGTGTTCAGAAACTTCACATAAGAAGCCATGCATGTTCTTCTGCAAGAAATGCTGCGACAAATGTCTTTGTGTACCATCGGGCACATATGGGCACAAGGAAGAATGCCCATGCTACAACAACTGGAAGACCAAAGAAGGTGGTCCTAAGTGCCCATGAATGGCAAACCATTCAGTCATGTTGAGAAGAAATGTTTCTTCTTAATTTTTTTGGTTTTTTGGTTTTTTTTTTTTTTTGGGCTATGCTATAAGTTTTTGATAGAGAAAGTTTGTAGACGGTTTTTCCTTTTTTCCTAGATGGAGAGGTTTGTTTTAGTTTTAGATCATGAAAGAAATATTAATGATTGGTAATTCTTCCTAGAGCAATAACCTTTAAGTTCAACACAACTTCTTGCTTATATTAAGAGTGTGATTAGGAATCGTTAAAGCTATATTATAAAACCTTTTTTATTATTAGGAATGTGTTCGTCTTTCTTGCACCCGAGTCGAATCTCCTTCTCTTCTAAAACTTCTGAGAATAATGGTAATTAAATCCAACATATTTTGACATTCACCACATTTTGGGCGCCTATCTAAACTCCACGCTAGATGCAAGGTGTTGATTAGGGAGTCAAGATTCACGAACGCTTGGGGGATTTGGTCGCAACGTCTATTGATCCTAGATTTATGTTTGTGATTGATTTGATAAAATCCTATTAGAGGTGGCAACCACTCTATAGACCCACAAGGATGGACGAATTGGTTTATTTGGTCTGATAGTGAATGTTGACCTTTTCACATCCAAGGTCATATTCGAATTGGTTTTATTTGATACTTGCATTACATTAAATTAGCCCTTGACACACTCGTGCAATTAGAAGTCAAAGTCAAACAAACGATAGTATAATTATTTTAAATTAGTCAACTAACCTAACCCAAATATGCATTTTTTGCATTTTAGTTTTAATTAGGAGAAGATAGGTGTTCTTGTGTTGTGTCCCATGAAAACAAAAGCCATGTTCCCATCCCAGCTGGTGTCTTCGAGATTAATGTTGACAGTTCGTTTTTGGCATGTGAAAGCATGGGCGGGGGTGGGTACGGGTATTCGGGAGCATGCAGGGGACCCTTGTGGTTGCAATGGTAAAGCATTATTCTCACTTGTTATCTGCTTCTCATGCTGGCCATGGCAGCGTGGGAAGAGCTCAAGTTTGAAAAGAAGCTGTTGACCTAAAAATATTTTTGGCCAACCACGTAGATTATTTCGAGTAAAATAATCAAGGGCCGAGCGGATTTGGGAAGGGCCGAGAGTTGTCAGGTTAGACTTTCATTGTATTGACCCCCCGTGAGGTGATTGTTGTTGCATACAGGCCTGCTGGACATGTACTCCATCAAATTGTGGGTGTTCAGCAACTTCACATAATAAGAAGTCTAAGTCATGCATGTTCTTTTGCAAGAAATGCTGCGAAAGATGTCTTTGAATACTTTCGGACACGTATGGACACAAGGAAGAATGCCGTGCATATATGCTAGGGGTGGGCATTTGCACCAATAAATAGAGTCGGAAAAAATATATATTTGTGCTGACCAAAAAAGTCAACCTAGGCTCAAAAATCGAACCGAATTGCTTTAGATCAATTAATATCCCGGTTCTTCTCTTGGAAAAATATATATAAACCGAACCGGATTGGTTATGTTAAATTTAGATATTTATTTATATCCAAAATTATTAGTAATCCTAATTAATATTTAAATAACATTAGTAACTCCAAGAAATATCTAGATATTTTTGCCCAATTTCTTTTTATTTTCAATGAACCATATTCGTTCTTGTTGTGCTTCCATTTCTCTCTTTTCCACCTTTTTTTTATATATATTTCTCTTCCTATTTATCTCTTCACCTTTTTCTCTCTTCTACATCTTTCTCTCTTATTTTATCTTTTTTTTACATCTCTCTCTTATTTTATCTTTTCCACCTCTTTCTCTCTTATTTTATCCATTGTACATATTTTTCTATTCTTCCTATTTTTCTGTACATCATAATTCCCTATTCTTCACATCTTTATATTTTTATCTATCCAAATTGAAAATTGAGTCGAACCGAACTAGAACTGCATAGGTCCAATTTAGTTCGGTTCTTCTACACACTTTCTATAAAAACTAAGTTGAACCGTGTGTAAATTCCAATTTTGATTTCAATTCAAGAAGAAAGCTCAATCGAATCAGACCGTGCTCATCCCTAATATATGCTACACGACCCAACAGATAGGCATGGGCAGCAACACACAGCCCAACGAATCAGGGGTACAAAATGTCTAAAGTTGACCCATACATATATAGGGAAAATAAATATACCCTCCGTTGGAAGGATGAAAGTAACTCAAGATTTAACTAAAAGTCGGAATATGAGGAGAAATCGATATTTCCATTGTTTGGCAACTTAATCATGGAACTTAATAAATGATACACGGAAAAAATGTGAAAATTGGGGAGTAAGATTCCCGAATTTAATTTTTGCCAAATGAAGCGTCATTTCACAATTTTTATTAAGCATGAATTCCTTTTTCACTGTAATTTTTGTCATTTACAAAATTCGACATATGTAAATTCAAACACTGAAATTATTAATTACCATAAATTTAAATTATGGAGATCTAAATTTTGTCATTTAAGAATTCTATGCAATTTTCAATTCATTCATCCAAACGGAGGGTAAAAGTATTAAAAATATAAAATAAAATAAAACTATTGTTAAAATAACAACTCTTTTTGTTTAGGAGGCCCAACTCAATTTTGTTCAGTGGCCCAAAACTAATTGTTATATTAACAAAATATCCTCCTCTCCTAATATTGCTGGTAAGAAAATGATAAAAATTTATTTATTTTATTTGCTTTTACTTTACTTGAAATGCATAAAGAAATAAATTGTCATATATATATATATATATATATTTGGCTCCAATCGAGTATGGTTTTTAATTTTGCAAGCACACTTTCCTATATATACATACATGTATATAGGAAGTGATCCTACATTTGGCTCCAATTGAGCATGGTTTTTAATTTTTATCTCATTGAACATATCTAATCCTAAATATATAGGAAGAAATTACCATATCTTTGGCTCCAATTTAGTATGGTTTTTAATTTTGCCTATATCTAGTTAAAGAAATATATATCCAGTGTAAACACACCTCCTATTTATATATGCATGTATCCTATATATACATATGCATGTATATATCTATAAGGAAAGAATACATATATAGAGAGGAAGAAATTACCATATAGTAAAAGAAACATATACGTGCCCTCCCATATACGTATATGTATGCACATATATATATATATATATATATATGTGATGACCTAGCTCACATGCATCATATTCCTGAACAACGTTCCATTCTCCCTGAAACTAGATTGAAGGTAGAAAATTTACAATTAATTAAACATGGCCAGGCTCTCATGTTTTTCGACTGCTTTCTTTCTCATCTTTGCCTTGATCTGTACCATTGATGTCATGGTAATACCTCTCTCTCTCTCTCTCTCTCTCTCTCTCTCTCTCTCTCTCTCAAGCATACTAATCAGCTAGCTGTATATCTATCTTTGTTCTTTAAAAAATAAAATTGCTCATCATCTGCAGGCTCAGAGTCCGGGGCGTGCTGATGGAAGTGTTCGCCCAGTAAGTTACTGAATTTTGGAAGCAATCACTTATGCATGAAAGTTAGGGATTTTGAAAACTGTTTACATCAAATAAAAACTAAGTGCTAAATCTAATCAAGCGCTTTCTTATAATTTTACACTCAAATCCTAGAACCAACCTCATCTTGATATCCATGAAGGTACTCATGAACGAGATTTTCACAACTAAAATGGCCGTTATTTTTATAATTGTTATTTTGTGAATATCTTTGAATAATCTCCCTTATTTTCTGTTTTCTTTGTGGTTCGATTTTTTTACAGACCGGCGGTGAGGGATCACTTCGTGCTGAACGTACGTAACTCATTTCTCAAACTTTTACTTTCATTTCAAACATAACCCTCAATTTTCTCAATAAAATTATTCTAGTTTAGCTAATTTACTAAATAATTGCATAAGGAAAAAAAAAAAAAACTTGATACTTGTTGATACCTTGATTTTTATTTTTGATACTTTTTTGTTGGTGTATTTGATGTTTTAATCAGAATGCGGAGGGGCATGTGCATATCGATGCTCAGCAACTTCACACAAGAACCCATGTATAGAATTCTGCAACATGTGCTGCAAGAAGTGTCTATGTGTTCCATCAGGCACACATGGACACAAGGAAGAATGTCCATGCTACAACAACTGGAAGACCAAGGAAGGAGGCCCCAAGTGCCCATGAAACACAAACAAATAATTAATTTACCCAATGTCTTGTATGTTTGCGAGAATAAATGTATGAAAAAATAGACCAAGTAATAATGAAAAAACACATCACCTTCTTGGGGGTGTCAATAAAATTTCGCATGTGAGATAGTCATACCATTCAACCTTTTAGTACTTTGTCTACCTATTTGTTGATTACATATGATATAATCACCAGAAAAGGAAAAAAGAAAAAAAACAGTAGTATATATCTACTCAATCAGATTTCTTTGTCAATAAAGTCGCAGTATCTCCTCCTTAAGTGAGCCAAAATTAGTTTGGGGATACAGATCAATGTTCAAGGCGAAGTTTCTTTGCAACTAGCTGACCACGCTTGTGACAGATCACTTTTATTTATTTAATTTGTTTTATTGATGTGATTCTCTTATAATCACATTGGAATTTATAGGAGTTTCGGGTTTAGCTCAAATGTTTCAAACTTCGATGTATAGGTAAAATGTTAATATTAGGAATAGAAGAAGTCATGAATCAGAGAATTTAAATAAGGAAATCAAGGAATTGAAATAGGATCAACTATTCCCTTAGCTGATTCCATTTCCGACTTTGAGGGCATTCAATTAAGAATTTTAACGTGAAAGCAACATAATTCTAATTTTTTTTATTCCTTATGTTAGTACAGGCAGAAAAAGTGAGGGATTTAAATAATTTCAATATTCATGTGTTAACAAACAAACAAAAAGAAATTCATTTTTAAGCGTAATCCATGTAATGGACATGTTACATGTATCAATAGTCAAACGCTGTCACTGCGATAGGATGGCTGTGGTGTGCCACCTCACACCGCATGTGAGCCGTATGATTGGGTACATCACATATTTAGGGTAAAGAATTGGTGCCGCCAGCCTAACTTGGCTACAACTTGCAACTTTGAACAGAAAAAACCAAAAAAAATACCAAAAGCCTTTCTACTTGGAACCCCAATCTCTTTCCCAATTGACTTGCTATTGCTCTCGGCCTCTTGCCCTTCTTCGCTTCTTGGCTCTTGACTTGGCGCTTCGCATCATGACTCATATCCTTTCCATTGTTGATTTCGTACATCATGTTAGGCTTCTTCTTTTTTGTTATCTGCTTCAGAATTTCTGTTTAATCTCGTGTTTCTCAACACTTCAATTCTGTTTCGTTATTATTATTGGAAGTAATTTTGGTACGAACAAAAACAAAATTGGGTGTTTTCTTTGATTCTGAGATTTGATCACGCGGCAACCAGAGAGAGAAAGATCGGGAAAGAGCTCAGGCTCGGGGCGGCAAGGGTAAGAACAAGGACGATGGCTTGACCCCAGAACAGCGCCGAGAGAGGTCCAAGTTCCAATCTTTTATCTTTTTCTTTTCTATTTCTGTTTGGGTTTTTATTTTTATTTCTTTTGAGACAGCCCAATTTGTAAATATTTTGTTTCTTGAAAAATGGATGGCAGGGATGCTAAGGCGCTCCAAGAAAAGCAGGCGAAGAAGGCCGCGGGGGCAGCGCCGGGAGGGAATTCCTCCGGAGGTAAAAGCAAATAGTACGAAATAAGAGAATGAATGGCATTGTCTAATTTGGGGATGTTGTCTTAACTTTGGCTTGATTAATAGCTGTTGAGATTTCATTGTTTAAATTTGTGGTGTGTTGAATAATTGATGTTGGAAAATATGTCATTGTGAGTTTGTTGTATACTTAACTTAGAAATATATGAAGTGAGCCAATTTCATGTACCATTGATTTCTGTAATTCTTATTATTGCATCATGATTTAGAATTGATTGATTATTTGGAATTTCAGAAAACTGAACTGAATTTGTAACATAATAAAGGAAAATTTATCAACTTTAATCAATATTGAGGTACCTGTATAAGAGCTTTAGCTTAGTCTCAACCTTTGAAGTTTATTGAATCACCATAGACCTGTGGAGATGCTTGTTGGCCAACACAGATACAATTTGATATAGGAGGATTTTAGACACAATGACGCTGGGTTCTGTTACAGATTGTGAAAACTCATAACTTATTACATCTCTAATTCTGTTTGCGACTTTACAAATCAAGGTTTTAGATAATGTGTCTTTTACATCATTTGTGATGTGAGTCGTTAATTGCTAGATATTATAAGCCTTGGCAATGGTGCTTTGATGTAGATGTAAGGGGTTGAACCAAAGAGGTCATAGGTTTTTTGACAAGAACAAAAAGCGTATTTTGTGGCGTCATGCCCATGTATGTGTTCTAGTCTCTAGTCTAGAGCATGGTCCCTTGTCCTTGGCTCAAGGATTGATTGACCATTGGCTAAAACATGTCAACTTCCGTGGTTTGTTTTTCTGTCTTCTACACTGTTTGCATTTGTAATCTGTTACTGTAGGAAAGAGTCTCATTAGCTAGGGATACTGCTTTGATGTGGATTCGTATATATGGAGCATGTATCATCCTCTAAATGTTTGAGTGGGTTAATATTCTGTGGAGGAGTAAGAGGACTGAAAGGAAACAATATGATATTATAATCAGATAAAGGAAGGAGAAGAGGCAATCACCTTTCTTGTAGGTCATCTCTTGCCGTTCCGTGTTAGTAGGCATGCTCTGAGTGGCGAGTACAAAGACCATTGAGATCTACTTCTTTTAGTAAGCCTTCTTTTCCTTTAAAAGGGAAATAGGGAAACCGATGCACACCCTCACTGCGGGTGCTTGTTCAACTTAGAAGCATGCCTAGATGCACATTCCACCACAAACCGTCACTGAAAATTGTACATGCAGGACATCAAAACTACTATGCCATGTTTTTGGGAAATGAAATTACAAGATTAGTGCAAGCCATGTTCTTTGGGTACTTCAAACATGGGGAGAACCTGTGTTGGCTGTGTTTCGACATGAATGGAAAATTAATCACGTCCTTTGCGGAACAGGAATGTCTTAATAGTCTTCTGAAGCAAGAGAAGAAAGTCTTTACTCTGGTGGAAGTTATTTAAGGAGATTTTTGTTTTATCTTACGTTCTTTACTTGTTGTGATAAGAATCTAGCATTCTTTACAATGAAAAATAAAGATGTGCCCAGCAACCTAGTCATTTTAAGAACTATCAAACTACCCAGAGACAATGATCATTAAAGCTTGGATGCTTTGATGTTTCATTTGTCTCCATGTGCACTAGATGATTCTGTTGTGTTTTCCATTGCAACGAAACGAACACATTCACATGCTGCGCATCCATGTGTACACCTTAGTACAATAAAATTTAGTATCATATGCAGTGGTCCTAGATTATCTTTATGTTCAAGCTTACTGCATACAGAACCCAGATATAGGGCAAGGTCCTTCTAGCAAGAATGAAAATGAGAATTTGAGATAGCTGTAGCAAATAGATGCCTTTATTACTAGTTTAACATACTGCGTACAGAACCCAGATATAGGGCAAGGTTCTTCTAGCAAGAATGAGAATGAGAATATGAGATAGCTGTGGCAAATAGATATAGTGTAAAGTTATTGAGAAAAAGATGACTGTTGTAGGAGAAAAAATAGGGTCTTGACCAACAGCCATGGAAAAAACCAGAGGCTCCCAAGCCTCCCAAATGAAAGCTTCATCACATTGCATGGCATGGTAATTGCTGAAGGTGGATGTACATCTTCATGCAGACAAACCCCGAGCTTCTTTTTAAGTTAACCTCCTCGAGAAAAACTCACATGAAACACTAATATGTGATGGAGAGAGAGAGAGAGAAGGGATTCATGAATGTGATGGTTAAATTTCTTAAACCTCATGAATGTGATCAATTGTTCTGTTGTACCTCATTGTCTTCTTTGAACAAGGTTTTCAAGAATGGTTGGAACTTCGACCGTGAAACTACATTGCAGAACAAACACAAGTTCTAGTGCAGCTCAAGTGGATAAGAGCATTTACCTTTGCATCCTAGGTCCTAGGTTCGATTCCCCCTTTCCCCAATATCGTTTTTTTAAAAATAAAATAAAAAAAGACTCCTTTCAGTTAAACACCCTCACGTTTAGAAACTCTGCTCTGAATATGTCACACTGAATTTCTCGACCCCACAAGTGTTTAGACAAACAAAAATTACAAGCGAAAGAAAAATGGATCAAATAAACAAGTAAAACTTTATGTAATGGAGTTGGTGCCATTGTATTGTATGATATATTCAACGGTGACCTTTGTGTTATTTGGTGAACTAAAGGCTTATCCTAAGACTTGAACATGTCAATGGGGAATCAATTTCTGCAAATAAAACGCCATGACTTCATGCAAATAAACCCGTACAGCTAATTGCCAGTTTAGACACGTTTGTCTCTTACAAGTTTCAACCATGAAAATATATTTAGACTTTTTATTTATTTATGAAATTAAGGAAATAAAGCTATTTCTGCAATTCAGAACAGTTTTGAAGTTTTAACTAATGTTTTGAAAAGCAAAACATTTTTTGTGCTCCAGAGCGAGCGAGGCGTAAGCCTTGAGGCGTTTTATGAACACCTTTTTAAATTTGCATGGATAAATTGCATATTAGAGACAATAACCAAACAGACAATTGATTTCGCAAGAGAGAAACCTTTTAAAATTGAAATTGATAAACTACTACTACCTAGACATGGTCATGTTACGAGAAAAAGTCGATGGTTTAATTATATATTAATTAAAAAGCATATTGAAAAGTATAACTAAAAATTGAAAGCAATGTCTTTGATTTCTCTTTACATTACATTACAAATTTACAATGGCCCGCATTTTTTCTCTGCCTACCTTAGTTAGCCATGATTTAACTAATGATAAGTTGATAACCACAACGGCATTGGTAATCATGCTTTGTCAAAATAAACGATAAGGCGCACTCCATGCTATTTTTTTAAATAAAATAAATTAGTTTATTTGGATCAATTGGTGGTGGTGGAAGAAGTCATGATGTTAACTCATGAACAGATAACCAAAGTTCAACTTAGGAGGTTTTGCTGCCTGCCTACGTATTGATTTTTATACATATCGCAAAGATTATTAAATTCATGCATGTATATGCATCCATGATTAAGTCTTAATTTGGTTCTTAATTTGGGTTTAGAAGATGGATCCATAATAATTAAGAGAAAAATATAGAAATATCATAATATTTGGTTCTTTATGACATGATCGGATCATTTCTTTGAAAGGGGAAATCGAACTTGAGACGTCTTCCAACATTGTAGAATAAAAGTACCACTATGTCTCAACTATCAGATATTACGTGAGTACGTGGCAACACTAACAAATCTTTGGGAAAAAAATAATATTGCCATTCCCTTCCTAGACAAATTCTTTCTTGTGAGCTAGAAAAGATGGAAAGACAAAGTGATGTAAAACAAAAGATGGAATCATTTGAACAAGAAGAATTCCACTTTGATGCAGTTGTTTTCATCTTTTACACTATCTTTTGTCATGTTTTCATCTTATCTAACTTTATATATATGGTGCTTCTGTGTGCTGTTACAAAAGGATTAGCAGCAGTGAGGGAAATTAAAGGGGGTTGGCGTGGAGGGATGAACTTCCTTGCAAAAAGGTTGATCAAAACCCTTTTTTGAAAAAAAAGAAGCTGATGAGAAGAATAAAGTAAAGGGGAAGTCATATATACATATAATAGTCAAATTCCTGAAGTAGTTGCACCAGAAATGAACCTGTTCGTTTTTTCTTTCTTTCTGATTTGAGGGTCAGCTTAATTAAGCTCAAATGAGCGATTAATTAATTGGTTATCCATGATGCCATGATACTTTAAACTAATTATAGTTGTGAGCTAAGGTTATAAACTGTTGACAAGGGACAAATTTCTGTGTCCCCCATATACTTAAATGCACGCAGACACACACACCAGACCACAGATGCAGAATATTCAACATGTTTGCAAAAATGAAATAAAATATTTAAATGATAATTACAAATGACTAGATCTGTTGTTTATATGCAATGTACCCCAGTTGTATATGCTGTTATTATATTATCAATATATCATAGTCCGTAGCCACATGAGTAGAGCCACCTCTGAAAGCTCCTATAACATGCATCAGACAACATGAAATAGCTGCAGAAATCGTGAGAAATGTTCTCTTACCGTATCCGGACCACAAATTAGTTTGGTTCTTTTTTAAATGTGGGATTCAGATTTATGCGAGGTAAGTATTTGTCTGATAACATAAGTTTGGTAAGCGAACATTACTCCACAAAACTCCACAAACCATAAGAGAAATGTGACTATAAATAGATAATGGCAGAAACAAAGAAACTGGACAACCAGGCACAATGAATGTGTCTATTTTGCTTTGCTAGGCTGCAAAATTCTTATCTTCAAGACAGAGAAACTGATGGAAGATTGTAAGAAAATTAAGCAAGGCCTGTCACAAGAGTAACAATATTATATAGAGAGGGGCACTGAGTCCCCACTCATGGCTTGTCATCCACTCATTGATCAAGCTCCTTCTCCATCTCTAATTTAATCTAAAAGCTGTTGCTGATGTGTGTGTGTTTGGAAATGAGGGCATTATTTATTTATTTCCTTCTGTTTCAAGGTTTTGAGGTCCAAAACACAGGAAGGAATAAAGATATATATGATCAAGGAAACAGAAAGCAAAAGCTAACATTTGAAAACATGGCCTCGTGCCCTCTGCCTACTAATCCTCCTCAATTAAGAATGTGAAAAAAACATAATATAGGTAGCTTAGCCTCAGCCATAGCCATGTGCTTGTTTTGTAAGATAACATTGACAAACAAGTTAGTCTTAGAATAATATTGCAAAACTTGCCAAAACAAAAATAAAAAGTGAAAAAATAAAGAGAGTTTCTTTGAGATTCTTTATTCTCTCTTTTTCCTTCTCTATAGTATAATATATATTTGTATTTTCCTCACTTGGAATGGTTCCCTCCAAGTGGCGTTGACCCAAATGGTTAGCTTAAAATGGCTGCAAACTTAACAGCACCACACAAATGAAGGAAATTTTAATCATTTCAAAGCCAGCCTCACCACTTGAGGTGGAGAGAAATTAGTGGCAGTGCTTGCTAGCTATGGCTTTTACCTTTATTTGCTTGAGCTGATGAGGTGCTTGAGTGTCTCCAAACCCTCTTCAAAAGACACATATGCTCATGATGCCCCAAGAAAAAGCCAAACAAGGTATACCTGTGTTGATAGCTTTCATCACTATTTGTTTAAGGGTTAGATCCAGAAAAGACAGTCATCATTTCCTCATTCTTATAGAATAATTAATCCAACATCCTGGCCTAAAATAAAATTAATTAACTAACATAATAGCTGAATTAAATTGGGTTTAAGGCCTGTTCAACGCTAATGATTATTTCGATGATAATATTGATAAATGCAGCCTCTGGTACCAACATTTGTATGAGCTTTCCATTAATTTCCTGCAATGTAGGACCAGTCATAAGGTTGGCCATCTCAGTTGGCTTAAAATTAAGACTAATTAAGCAACTATTAGCAGATGTACACTTGTATAAAACAAGCTTAAGTATCAGAAAATGAAGTTTTGTGTTATATATATTGAAAGGTTTAAACTTTATATATAAAACTCAATTGGAAAGTAAAAAAGAAGGGGAACGAGGCATGTGGGTGTTAGAGAAAATCACATGATCAATGACATCAAAAATCCATGATCATGATATATAAAAAGCCATGAAAGTAAAAGGTTGAAATTTTCATGCAGTCACCATCACTGGGGAAGATTCACTGCATAACATGTAACCATACATGGCAAGTTAGCTAAGAAGGGCCTGAGCTGTCAGGTTCTGATTGCCTGCAATGTGGCATGAAAGAATATTGGCAAGCACGAATTTGCTTGGGGGAGGAAATGGAAAATGGTGAGCTTATTCTTTTTGTCAATTGAGCAGAAAGAGAGAGAGAGAGAGAGAGAGAGAGAGAGAGAGAGAGAGAGAGAGAGAGAGAGAGATCTGACTCAGACAATAGCTTTGCTTTATCGACATAAAGTAGGTTCCTTTAATATTCTAATAAAGCAGCAAAATACTTGTCACATGATGAGGAGAGCTTTAGCCTTCAGAGGTAAATATATATAGCATAGTGCATTCATGATTTCCATTATTTCTGTGCCATTCTTTTCTTTGTGTGTTCTGTTTGCCCTCAAAGTTTTTATTAGCATGGATGGTAAGTTTCCCAAGTTGGAAACCTTCATAGCAAAGCAATTGCCATCTTATTTTCCAAGAATGGCAAGTGATATTGGATCAAATTTGTTTGGTGATCCAGCCATTTGGTGTGGCAGTGGATCAAAATCATCACTGTCACCAGAGTCTAGTAGTTCTTCAACAGAGGAGTTTTCTTCTTCTGGTTCCAATTTGATTGACAACATGCCTGGATTGACCAAAAGTCCATTTGTTCCTGTAAATTTCTTGGAAACATTTCCTCAGCTGAGTAGAGTTCAAGTTTCTGATCAACCACCTACTTCTCCAACTTCCTTGTCATCAAACAGGTCAAAATTTCCAAACTTAAATTTGTTTTTGCAGGAGCCAAATATGTTAGATCCCTCATCATCATCATCATCTTCGTCGTCCACACAAGTTGAAGTTGTAGACTCACTTGGCAAGACCAAAGGGTGTGATGAGCCTAGTATGTTCCCCTATTTATCAATCCCTTCATTTCCTACTCCTCAAGTAATCGACCAAATTCAGCGTCAACCGGGCATGATTGAGTGGCTTAAATTGAATCAAAATTTAGCAAGCCATTCATCTAAAGGCTTCAATGATTACTGGCTAAGCACGACGAAGACGCAGCCAATGAAACGCACTGGAAGGTCATCAAGATTGCAGCAGCAGATCAACCAACACCACAAGCAGCCTCATAACAATTTGTCATCAGCATCATCATCACCAGGGAAGCTATTTAGAGGAGTTAGGCAAAGGCATTGGGGGAAATGGGTGGCTGAGATTCGATTACCAAGAAACCGAACAAGAGTCTGGTTGGGGACTTTTGACACAGCTGAGGAGGCTGCCATTGCATATGACACAGCCGCCTACATGTTGCGTGGGGAGCATGCCCATTTGAATTTCCCAGATTTGAAGCATCAACTTAAGGCCAATGCTTTGAAAGGAAACACAGCTGCTCTGCTTGAAGCAAAGTTACAAGCAATATCTTCATCACAAGCACATCAGAAGGCTATCATGGAGTCCAAATCATCTCAATTAGCATCACCAAACAAGTACTCAAATCTCATGATCAATAGTAATTTCAGCCAAAACCCAACAAGAAAAGAGTGGCAGTTTGGATTGGAGAGCAAAGTTGGATCTGATCATCAGGTGGTAATTGAAAGCAAGAAAAGCCAGCAGGAGTTAGTATCAGCAGATGTGGATGCTGTTCAGCTAAGTAGAATGCCCTCTCTGGACATGGACATGATATGGGATGCTCTTCTGGTTTCTGATTCATAACCTTTCCTTGTTTTTTTCTTTCGTTTCAAAAAATGATATGTGATACCGAGACCACGATTTCACTGATTAAATTGATGCCGTGTTGAATAAATTTTTTTTTTTTTTTTTTGATTCAGTATATAGGCATGTAACTCATCTTTTTTCTTTTCCAAATTATTGCAGTGAATGGTTAGATTATCAGATTTGTGCTTTCTCCAATTTGGTTTTTTTTTTCTTTACTTTTCTGTTCTGTGACGAAGGTTTTGCACTTTGAAACAGGCATGATGCATGATTTTCCAACTATGCATTATGAAATGGAAAGATGTCTAATGTAAATATCTTTTCGAATAGTACTGTTGCCAAATTTGGAACGTTGAATGGGGCTTGAAAAAGGATCCATATGTATAAAGATTATAGCCGCTCGACTATACATTAATTTTAAAAAATAAATTTTAAATTTTAAATTTTATTTAAAAAAAATAAAAAAAAATACCCAGGTATAGCCGCGCGGCTATACTGTTTATTTTTTAAAAAGCCTCCTACCGTTTGCCTACGTGTATACTTTCCCATTTTTATAGCCGAGCGGCTATGCTTTTAAAATTTTCTCGAGTACAGCCGTTCGGCTATACTTTTTTAATAACCAACATCCGTATAGCCGCTCGGCTATACGTTTATAGAGGGAAAAAAAGGCCTCGTCTAGCGATTAGGCGCCCACGTGTTTAAAACAGGTATAGCCGACCGGCTATACTATATCTTTAAAAAAAATAGTAAATTTAGGTTTTAGCCAAAAAAAAAATTTACTTTTGGAAAAAGGTTTGGCTTTTTCAAAAAAGACAGAAAAACCTCTCAACTTTCAAATCAAAAACATGCAAATGTAAAGGATTCCTTAAGAAATCCAAAAATAAATAAGGGCAATTTTGTCTATTTTAGCTTCTTTTACAAAATTTCTCTCTCCTTTGTGTTTTTCCAAAGCCTCCCTAAAAAAATTACCGTAGTAAAGACCCTCGGCTATACGATTTTTATAAAATAAAAAAATACCGAAGTATATCCGCGTGGCTATACTATTTAGTTAAAAAAGGGACCAACGTGTCAACAAAAGTATAGCGGCGCGGCTATACCATTGTTAACAAATTATGTCTTTGATACTTTGGGCCCTAAGTACGTCACCTTGGGCCAGGGCCAGTCCTCTCTCCGAACTCGTGAGGTCCACTGCTTTTCAATCTTTTTTTTTTTTTTTGGTCTGAAACAGCTTCTCACTCTCAAGTCAAAAGCTAGACGAAATTTTCACTGCATTTGGGAAAATGGCGCCAATCACTCATTCACATCCCACATGATTTTGACTATTGACTCCAAATATTGCCTCTATTGGCCTTGCTCTAAAGCGAAATTGTAAGTTGTCTTTTTTATGTTTTTTCAATTGCGATGGGGAATTACTTATAATCTCGTTATTAGATCAAGAGTTAGTTGATATTAGTTAGTAACTATAAAAGAGTGACCATCCTTCAACCTGCCATATTCTAGTAACTGGCAGAAAACTGGGTCAATGCTCTTCCTTTGGAAAACAAGGAGCGAAACTGCGCAAGAATTTCCCTCATGCGATTTTTGTCACTCACTTTTCCATTTAGACAAGATTTTTCTTGAATTTGACGCGGTTGAAGTCAAGCTCCAAGAAATGACTACCTCTTTTCCAGGAACATGGAAAAATCAAAATCATAAGATAAATAAAGCCACATATCGGAGGTTCCCAAGTAGAAAGATTTACCTTCTTTTTTTTTTCATTTTCTCTTGTGCTTATTATCCATCGAAGCTTTTCTGGCCATAAATTAACTGTTGAGATTCTCACTATCTTGCTTTGTTCATCAAACTTCTGCTGCACTGCATGCACACAGAGAGCATGCCGGATAGGTGGTTTCTCTTCTCCTTTTTTTTTTTTGGGGTCAACTTAACTTCTCCTCTTATGGGGTTTGCATATTTTTTTGCTATGATGCTTGATCAAACTAACAACAATATAAATTGTCATGAAGGACAGAAAAGTTGCAGAGCACTGGATTTACAAAAGGGAGGGGTTCAGAAAAGTAGACTTCCCAACACACTGCAGTTATGGACCAGTAAATGAAGATGAGCCTTTCAAATGGCAAGGTGTGATCATGGGGCCTCCATATTCTCCTTATGAAGGAGGTGTCTTTTTTCTCTCCATTGATTTACCACAAGACTATCCTACCAAACCTCCCACCATCAAATTTTTAACCAAGGTAATGTATCTACTGTCTACACATACATCTTGTCTGTTATAATTTTGCAATTGGATGATGATGCATGTGATTAAGGTGAAAACATGTGTTAAGAGTAATGGAAAAGGCGGATTAAACGACAAGCATCACTCTAAAGATCAATGACAAAGACTGCATTCTGAGTCAAGTCAACACAAGTCTGTTTTTTTTTTGGGACGAAGTCAACAGAAGTCTGTTTTGTTCGTCATCTTGGTCTCTTATTAATTCCAGGTGTTTCTATACCTTTGGATGAATAGTCTTGATTAGAACGCGTTAGGACATAAGGAGAAATGTTCATGTTTTCAAGTTGGATTCTGAATCATTATGTTTCTATAAACTAAAACTAGTTGCAACTTGCATTAGATGTTCTGAAAATTTTCATCCAAATCTTTCTTGTCATTCTGCATGGAATATTATACTTGCTCGTATAATTCACTTGCATAACTTTCATGTCGCCGTTATAAGCTTCAATAATGAAATTGTTGTAGCCTGTCCTTTTTCCAACAATTCATTTACAGATGTGCCATATGTTGGTGTTATGCAGGTTTATCATCCAAACATTGGTGAGGATGGGACAATTTACATAGACATTTTGGAAGAAGAAGAATGGAACCCAGTCCAGACCATTGAGAGCCTGCTGCTCTCCATATGCTCACTTCTTAATGATCCAAATCCAATGGACCCTCTCAATCCATGCTGCCTTCTCTTCCGAACAGACGAACAGAAAGCCATTGAAATAGCAAAGGACTGGACTAGGAAGTATGCAATGTTACATTAACTTTAAATTAATTTTTGAATGGCATCCCTTGCCTTTATCGACATGCATATAAACATTGTTCCTTTTCTTGTATAACTTTAGCTCTTGGAAGTAAAGTTTTATATTGAATGGTTGAGCTTTCATTTGACGTTTTAGATTTCCCATATTTCAAGCGGCAAAATAATCCAAAAACAAAGATCCAGGCCACACTCAACAGAAAATCACCCTGCATAGATGTACAAAATAAATCATTAACCATTCACCACGTGAGATGAACATATGCTCCATCTTCTATCTTCTCTTCCTTTAATAAATAGATAGAAAAGGAAAAATAAACATTACTGGAGATTATATAATTAACAGATCCAAAATTCACTATTCACTATACATTGTTTAAGGTTGAAAAGGCGAATTTCAAAGGTTAGGAAGAATATTTTTTTGGTCCAAGGTTAGGAGGAATATTTGTTCCAACCAAAAACAAGTACTACTTGTGGCATTGGACACTTATACAAGCACGTGTGGCTCACCGTACAAAAGTAGGCCTCACATAACTGTATGTGAGTGACTGATGCAATGTGCCGGGCGTATCCAAATTTGGAAGTTAGATAGGTAGGCTTTGTACATTCAGTGTAGGAAGCGATCCCGCTGTACATCATTCATATAAAACATAACAGCTTCATGCAATTTCAAATCACCTGCGTAAAACAAATAAGACATCCAAAACAGTCCCTGTGAAACCGAAACCAAATTACATAAAGAAAAACATATATAAGCCAGCAAGCGAAAAACTTTGAAATTGGGGCATAAAGACCAAAGAATTCAATTGCCTATTGCATGACCAACACTCTCAACTTGTAATACAGAATATAAGTCCAAGATGGCAATTACTCTGCATCACTAAGCTTTTCATGTGATTCCTAAGCATACAAGCATAGATCCCAAAGCTCAAGGTCTAGTGTCAAATTTATTACTTTTATTACCCATGGAGTTTCAAGGCATGTACTGTCAGGTTAATGTCTCTTTGCTTCTCAGGGTATGCATGAAAATCTGTCCTCTGGAGGTACATTGACAATGCTACACTCATCAAATGTACTTTTGAGGCATTCAGAGAATGAAACTCTTTCACTACTGTAATTAACTACAAACTACACAACAATGTAAAAAAAACTCAGCTGTTCCATTTTTCTTATTCAGTCACACATCTGTCAGAGAAGGCATCCGCGAACAGCCAATATCGATTAACAGATGTGTTGATACTTTTAAGTATGAAGGATCACCACTTTCAATGACTGGCTCAAACAAGTAATTAGACAATAAACAAAGAAAAATACCACAGAGACCCAATTATCTAACCACGTGATGTGGCAGTTCATATGTACTTAGTATGTCGCTACTAAGTCCAATTGTTAATTAACACATCAACTGCCCGAGCATTTGATCAATTGATGTGGATAAAAATTCTGACCCCTCTAGCATTACTTATAGACATGTCATCTATAAAATCCTTTATACAAGTATTTACAAATGGATGCATGTAATACGTTTATACCTCAAGGGTGATACTAGTAACATTTAATGCTGCCACTAAAATAACCTACAGAATAATTATTCAAATATTCATTGCTGCCACTATAATAACTGTTCTATGTTTCACATCCACAGAAATGCTGTTAAAATACATACAAGCAGGATAAATAACACTATTCCTTTACGAAGATGCTACTAAAGCTATCTACACTGAGAACTACAAAAGCCAGAGAAAAGTACAGCTCAAGAATGACAAAAGCATAAACGTCGATTTAAAACTTAACAAACAATGGATAGGATTTTCTAGACTACAGGCAACATCAACCACTATCAAGCTGTTTTAGAATATCAAGTTTCCAAATAGAACCTGGCACGACTCAGGGATTTACTTTAAGGCTGTTGTAGTCCTATATATTATATGGTTTGAGTGGCTAAGTGATTGTGCGGGTAGTATGATTGATAAACTGTGACTGGATAGTTTTAATAAAGGAAAATAAATTGGCTTGGAAGTGACGACTTTTAAACAAGTTTACCTATGTGAAGACACGAGTACAGGGTCATGGTTGTTGGTTGTTCCATGGATCCCGACATTGCATTAGTAAGTAGAAGTTTAAAAAATAGAAGCTGTAAAAATCCTAGATCAGATAAACTTTCAAGGGGCAGCATGGTAGTAACTAAAGGATGTCAAGTTTTTCTCCTACCCAAGATGTAGAATTACATAAGTCTCTCTATGGGTGGTTAAACTATCAAACAGTAGTGTCATAAGTCTCTGTATGGGTGGTTAAAGATGCAAGGGGGCCTTTGCATTTGTCCTGTGCACTTTGGATTTGGAGGTAAAACATTTATAGTAATTAACAACTTGGATTGTTTTCTTTTCCAACAATTTATCAGGAAACATGCAGATGCAGTGTTTGGCAAATTGAGAAAAGCAAAAGAATCCTAAATCAAGTGAAAAAAAGTCACAATCTTGAGATATAAGGTAAAATATGTGAAAAGAAATTTTTGGACTGTACTCACCGGACTTAACACCAAGAACCGACAAGCGGTCATTAACGGGCTTCCACGCAAGCAACTCCATGAAGTTCTTTAATATTTGTAACCAAACAACTGCATGGTAAATCTTAGGCTTAGTAGCATCAACTGTCTCCAGTGTAATATGGTACAATATGCTAGAAACCATAGTGTGGCTTGCCCCCAACACCCTCACATATTGAAGATTCTTACTCTACACAAACACAAAAAAGAAACATTGACATTATAAACAAAATTAAGTAGAAGTGCCAGAAGAAAGAGGGAGAAACCATAAGAATCTCAATAACTACATCTTTGGGGCCAAACACACATAATGTTTAAACCTACCTTAAATTAAAACCGTAGAATGCTAGCAGAACAAAGGAAATGAGATTGACAAAATTAATAAACATACACCAAAATTCACATTTAGTACCAAAAAGTAACTTTTCACTGAAACGTTCCTAACATCCCATAAAGATGCATTGGATACAATCTTCTCCACAAAAGGTACGCACCCTACAAAGAAACCAAAACGGATTTCGTATAAAATTTAATTTTCCGGAGTTTATGATATTTTATGAACTGGGTTTGGAACAAAAGACAGAAAATTGGCGTAAAGATGGAGAATTTAAAACAGGAAAAGGAAAAAGACCTCTTTGAAATTGTGCTGCTCTACTGCAAACTTGGCGAGTCTGATGATCCAATCATCCTCGCGGGCACCCATGTAAATGCAAGTGCCACCACATGGGGGTGATGTTGTACAACTTTGTGAACCTGAAATTGGGTTTGCAGAAGAAAAAGAAGGAGAGCCATGGAGAAATACAAACGCTGAAGAAGAAGAAATGGGGATCAAAGCATTGTGATTTAACAGTGCACAGAAGCCAATATAGGGCTTGAGCATGAGGTGAGTATGGTTGACAGCGGTGTGGGTTACTCCGCCGAAGAGGTAACGCAGAGCCATAGAGGCAGGTAATAATCCTTTGATGAAGTTCCGCCCCAAATTTGGAGTGGCGACGTTGTTGGGCTTTTCCAATAAAACCGAGCCATTTAAATCTCAAAATCAAAAGAAAGGAGCTACGGTGCAGCCAAAATTATGTTTCTTTCATGTGGTTAATAATTTTAGTTTTTTTTTTTTACATAATACGAGGAATTTGAACAAAGTACAGGACTCGACCTTTAGTGGGGAGAAATTGTCCCGTAACGGGCAATGGGATCAAATTCTGTCATATATGGAAAAAAAATTCATCAGGAATTTTGTGAAAGGGTAATTGGTTCGACCCGTACAGATCAAGCATTATCTAGTAGGTGGAAAATTCTTAATAAAGAGTTGGGAAAGTGGAGAGATGCCTTGACAAAAGCGATGAACAACCATAGAAGCGGGCAAAACCTTAGCAGTGAGGTAAATTATTTGTAATTTTTTTCTTTATTAATTTCTATGTCATATTATATTTTATTTAAATGTTTCTTGCAATTTATATATTATGTTAATATTTCTTGTATTTCCAATATTAATATGAATGTTTCTTGCAATATTTATATTTTGTTTTGCATTTCTAATAAATGGTTAAAGTTTCTTGCGTTTCCATTAATTTTTTTAATACTTGTTGCATTGCTAATATTTTTTTTAGTTTCTTGTATTTCCTTTTTTTATTTTTATTTTTATACTTGTTGCATTGCCAATATTTTTTAAAGTTTCTTGTGTTTCCATTATTTTTTTTGTTATACTTGTTGCATTGCCAATATTTTTTAAAGTTTCTTGCCTTACCTTTTTTTTTTTTTATATAGATTATGCAAGTAAACAAATTAATAGTATTGACACATAGGAACCCAAAACTCTTATCCGAAAATATTATCCAAATTAATTGTTTAAGTAAACAAAGTTGTGAAAAAAACAAAAAAATGAATAGTATTTGCCATGGCAAGCCTTGCATTGCTGGAAACACAATTTTTTTTTTGCCCTAGGACAGGCACTATTCATGTGAATAGTACCCGCCCTAGGGCTCCCCTTGCCATGACAAGGGGCTAACTGGTGGAAGTGCTCTAATGAATCTGATTTGAGAGACCTAACGCGGCTCCATGCACAATGGGCCTGAAAAGGGGCTCTTACACCATGAAACCTAATATATCATAATGGGCCTGAAACCTGGCCTCCCGCGTTCCACTACCTCTTGCTCTTGCTAAAGCAATGTTGTCTTACAGTGCAAAGTTCTGAGCATAAAAAAGATCGTGAGGTTATGATATGGTATACACTTCCACATTTGCAACTTCAGCTATAAACGCATGGTTTGAAGATGCATAAAGTGACATTATGACAAATCTGGCATCCAGTTCTTCGATTGTGCCCATCGTCCCAAGCCGTCATAGATAATATGTAATAACATTCTTTCATGTTTGGTAGTCAGTTTATGTATGTGTTTAATCAAGTATTGTTCTAGTTTGTTGTTGTTCTCCAAATTTTGTATTTAAAGATATAATAAATATATGAGATTGAGATAAGACAATTAGATCCGATGATTGGTGTGATATAAAAGATAAACATTTGACATATGAGATTAAATGTACTTTACTTGGTTCAATGGTTGATATGAGATGAAATCTTATCCCGTCAAAATTTGATTTTTTTTATATATCAAAATGTTCATAAAGAAAAATTAACTAAGAAGAAGGTAAAAAAACAACAAAAAAGAAGAAGAAGAAGAATATAATCAAATTACAACCTTAGGGGCCGTTTATTTATTAGGAATGAAGGAAGTAAGGAATTGGGGAAGTAATGAATCAGTATGGAAAGAATCACTCCTATTAAGTTGTTTACTAATCATATGGAATCAACATAGGAATAGAGTTCAATCCCATTGTTATTGTTTACTAATTCTCATGAATCATAACTTAAACTAATTTGATTACTAAAATGCCTTACACATATAAATATATAAATATTTTTCACATAAATAACTTGTAAAAAAAAACAAATTGAATAATATAAGATACTATATAACGAGTGATGAAAAACTAGTATATAATAATATAAGGAATATAATAGAAAAAAATAGCCATTGAAATAATAAACAAGTTGCTTTTTTCCAACGGTGATTAATAAACATCCATTGATTTTTTTTTTTTTAAACAAAAAAGGCTTCAAAAGTTTGGTTTCTTCATTTTATGGGATGGAAGAACGTAACAAGTGTCAATAGTTTTTGTTTTATGTTCACGTGTCCTCTAGATTGTGGTGCTAAACTAACTAGTTTCAAATAATATTTGAACGAAATTAAATTGATAATATTAAAGTGGTGTGAGTTTTTATTTTTCCAGGATTGGGGTGTTTTGTAATTATCTTAAAGTGGTAAGGGTATTTTGGAGGGTAGCAAGGGAAAAAAAGGAATGAGAATCGGATCAACTACCCCTATATATATATATATATATATGACACAGTGATAAGAAGCATAACAAGACAAGTACAGACTAGCAACCATGGTGAAAATGGAAAAATTTTGCTCTTTTTAATAGTGATTAATAAACAGCCATTAAATTTGTTTAGAACAAAAAAAGGCTTCAAAGTTTAGTTTCTTCATTGTATGTGATGGAATAACATAATAAGTGTCAATAGTTTTCGTTTTATGTCCGTGTTCCTCCATATTGTGGTGCTAAACTAACCAATTTCAAATAATATTTGAACAAAATGAAATAATAATAACCTAAGCATAATTTTGATAATATTAAAGTGGCGTGAGTTTTTATTTTTATAGGGTTGGGGTGTTTTGTAATCACCTTAAAGTGGTAAGGGTATTTTTGGAAGATAATAAGGAAAAAATGAATGAGAATCGGATCAACTACCCCTCCCTAGTTGATCTGATTCTTGATTTTGAGGGGATGTGATTATGAATTTTGAGGTAGGACTCATGTATTTTTTTTCATTCCTAATTGTAAGTAAATGCAGTAGAAGTCAGGAATGAAAATCATTCCCTTTCTTCTCCTACTCAGTACTGATATGTAAACATGCGATTCGTAGTTTTCTACCTCAATGTAATGCTAAGGTAAGAGTGCATTGTTTGTTTGTTTGTGTATTCACTTTTGTACATAAAAAGCTTCACAAAACCTAAGAAGTTATAACAAACTCTACCAAGTGCCAAAAATAACCACATATATCTTCACCATTCTAAATAAATTGAAAAAGTCTGAATCCTATTACCAGAAATAGTAGCATATTCAAGTGCCCTACCATTTTTGGCCACCCTAAAGAAATCATGCAGATCCTATATTTATATTAACCACACACAATCTTAAATATCCCCTTCAACATTTAAAATCTTGAAGGTTTGGTTGGTGATGATAATTAAAATGGGCATTAAACATGCTAAAATAAGGTGTGTATAATAAAGAGAAGAAGAAAAGAAAGGGGAGGGTGGGAAAAATTCTAAGGTGATTTAAATGCCATATTAATTACCAAAGAAGCTGCTGTTACGGCACTCATGTCTCTCACCCCCACCCCTTTTTTTTGCTTTCTTTCTTTCTTATCCTTGTAATTTTTTGTTTTCCTTTTACATACATAAAAAAAGAGAGAGGTTGTGCCGTTTCAACCGGAAAGTCAATAGGGCACGTTTTGCTAATCTCACGACACCTTTCACTTTCACCCACTTTCATTATTATTTCTTTACCTTAATTCCATATTTTATTTCTTAATTAATCACATCCCATTGTTTTCCCCTTTTCTTTTTTCATACGGTTCATGGAATTAATTGCTGCACAATACCAAAACTATCCTTCAAAACATATGGCATGCATCACAACTAGATAGGGGATAAATTTGTCACTTGAAACAAATTTGTATGTTTCATTAGGGTTTTCTTTCTTTTCTTATTGAGCATTCTGAAATTACCAACAAAAAAAGAAGAAGAGCATTCTGAAATTGTCACCACTCAAATAAAAGAAAATACCCAAAAAGAAAAAGAAAAAGAAGAGAAGAGTTTGAAAAAGAACAAAAATAATATCCTCCCTTTGGTTATAATACCCAAATAAGCTTTCTTCCTTAATGTCATTTCATTTTGCATGCTCAAATTCTCCCTCTCTCTCTCACACTGTTGGTAAGTTTTATTTATATATATATTTTTACTTATTTATGCGAATGACTGGTTTATGTCATGTCTGTCATTTCTTCATCTGGGTTTTATGCAATATGCATTGTATATTCCTCAAACATATATTATTCTATTCCTCATTAATCCAAAGGATTATAAAGCATAGAAACACATAGAATACAATGGACAAATAAAATAATGAATAGTTTCGTATTCTATTGAGGGTAATTCTTAGTTTTACAATATCTTACTTAGGCCTCCATGGAAGTGGAAGGACACAGCTCCTGATTTGAAATTTCAAAGGGTGGGGGGGTGTTCATTGGCAAAGGTGGAGTTTTGGGTCCTTGTTTCAAAGGGGTGCTCATTTTGATTGATGGGCACACTGGGTACTCTCAGCCCCAAACCCAACATGGTATTGGTATTGGGTATCTTCTAAATCTTTCGTTTTTCTTGAGATGAGTGTCAGAAATTTGCAGAAAGGAGATGGAAAAAGCATTGGGCATTGTAAATGCAGATACCCATTTGATTTGCAATTTTGTACTACTTATTAGATATGTGATATCTTTGGAATGTCAGGCAAGGCAATATAGGCTTGTCAGTCTGGTTTCACAGAGAGAGACAGAGAGACAGAGAGACAGAGACTTTAGTATCATCTGAGTCTTTATTGACATAGCCTAAAAGGTTTTCTGCTTTTAGCCTCTGTGTGCTTCAAAGGCGTGAGCTTTTATTCTAGAGATTTTAATGGGTTCTTGCTGTTACATCCTCGGTACTCTGATGGAATTTATGGCTGTGACAGCTATGCTCTACCTTTTGCTTAATTTGGGCTTTGAATCTCTCCCTTGTTACTGGGAGTCATTTCATCGGCTCAGAGTTATCGTCAAGGCGGTCTTCATTGTTATTTCAGTTTCGCTCTGCTGCAATCTGCATGGTGGGATTTTTAAAACTTTTTGGGTCTC